TGTGTCTGTTCTATGTGCATATTTTTTGTACATATAGCAACATCCATGATCAGGGTCGGTCCTGAAAAATTCTAGGCTCTAGACAATAAATTATTATGAGGCATCTATAGATAATTTTTTTACAAGCATATTAGCATCAAATATGTCCAAATAAAACAGTTTATCATGATAAGAAATAATATATCTTTGGTACTCACTCATCATTTGATTTGTACGAGAATCAATTTTCGTTTTTAAGAAATACAATATAAAGATTTTTTTGAAAATTACTGAGGTGTGAGGATGATACCTACTATTTATTATATAAAAAAATCTTATATTTAAAAATAAAAATTCAAAAGCAGCAATAAATTGAGAGACATTATTGGTAGGGAGGCTCCTCTTTTATTTGCCCCATCATGAAATATCTAATTTAAGAAAATTGAGGAAATTCCACACTAATTATTTTTTGGGCTTTCAAAATTTTCTAAGGCCTCATTATATCCTGAGGCCCAAGGCGCCTTTGGCCAGAAGTGGCCTTGTCCATGATAAAATATTTTGTAATCCCTATATAGTACTAAAAAGTATACATGCATTAAAATTTGACATATTAGACATATGTCCCTATTTGGTATCAATTAAAATATAGATTTTAATCTAAATTAAAATTAATAATTTATCGCAATCACATATTTTATAGGTTTCACAACTTTTTAACCACTCATTTTATCAACTTCTATCAAAATTTACTAAAAATCTAATTTTAATTCTCATCAAACAAGGGCTAAGTTGTCAAATTTTCAGTATAGCATCGTTTTAAAATCCAAGTGGGCACTAACGTGTTCAACTTGCGTAAATTAGGATTGAATATGATACTTTAACCACTTATTAAAGTCGGGATTACACTCAAATTATAATGTGGTAGTTGTAGTATATCTTTGAGGTATCGATTCCACATGAAAACAGCAAAAATGCTGAGAGAACCACTAAACTAAGCTCCGGTTTAGCTCCCCTATTTGCAAAATTAAAATTCATTTTTATACCATTAGTGGTCCCATGTCTAATTTGTAATGTGAATGAAGTCAACAACTACGGCAGCTAATGGTCCAGTATTTCATTAAATTGTGGATAAAAATTGCCACCAAACAGGCGCTAAAAATGCCAAACAGTAAACTGAAAATTAAACGTTCTTTTAAACAAATAAATTGTTTAACGAAATAATAGATAGTAAAGCATCATGATCTCCTCAATTAAACTATGTTATTCAATCACGGAAATGATTGCTTTTGTAACTCAATAAAAGATAATCTAATCAAATGATATGTCCTCAAATCCAATATAAATTCTGCTGTAATTCTTGGGGATTAGCTTCCTTGCTTTAAAATTCAGTTTGCCAGTTACAAGATCAATATTCAAAGACAGTAACAACATATACTAAAGGAATAAGGCAGCTATGAATCAAACCAATAAAATAGCTAATCAACACTGAAAGAAACAATTGTATCACAATTCAATAGGTAAAGCAAGACTGAATTTATGCAAAGATTTAACACCACTTCACCAAACAATTATTTTCGTTTAGTTGGGCTTTTCTCTTCTGATTGATTAGGAGATGGTTTCTTTAGTGGATTTCACGTGAATTGTATACTCCATTTGATTTTGGTCCAAAATAATTACAGCAATAAATCATTAGGAACAAGCAAAATCCAAGTTGTTTAGTGAAATAAACAAATATGAACAAAATCAGCATATGATGTTTTTGGTAAATTGGCATTTTCAGAGTAAGTTTTTCATGTACTCATCAAGTCATTTCGATCAATCTATAAGTTGTTTTGATGGTTTTTGGGTTAAACAAACTGATTTGATCTAAATTTTATAACCGTGAATCAAATATCCTCTCGCTAAGTAGAGAATGTGTTACCTTTTTATTCTCCTTAATTCTGTGCATAGAGTTGAGTCCAAGAATATGAAGCATCTTTCAGACACATGCCACTCAACCTTATTTTAACGAACTTGAGGACGCTTCATGTGAAAAAAGGTTGACCGCCCTGCCTTTGGAGTATTGTGAGGGAGGTAAATCTTGGGATGTACCCCAACAGGCCAGAGAACAAGAGTTTGCCTGTACATTGGTGCCCACAAAAAGTTCAATTCCATATCTCAAGAATCGAACATTCACACTACGACTGTCAGTAAGGTTGGGACTACATAACTCCTATTCTTTGCACCACTGGATTATGCCCTAAAAGAGCGAGTGGCTTATATTGTAGCTTGCCAAAAAGAGAACTTGAAATTTTATTTCAATTTGACTCTCTTAATTTTTGGCTTATCTTCTAGTCATTGTAACAATAATATAGCAAAGGAATGGTATGATTCATGTAACTTGTTGAGCTATATTGTCTAAAAGATTAAGCTGTTAAACACGGAACAATTTTATTTCTTCAAATTTTGTCTTCAACAAGTCCCCTCAGTTCATTTTCTTATGAAAGATCTACCACTTGCCGAAGTTTCATAATTGGTGGTTGTAAGACTTGAACTAAATTCCTTTGCATGCTCTGGTATTGGTACCATGTTGAACGATCCTGTCCAGAGTATTTAAACTGTTAATGAGAGGGCATATTTATTTATTGAAATTTGTCTTCATGTTAGTTTTTCTATTATTGCTTTTAACTTTTGGCTATATGATATTTCAGGTACTATGCCCCAGCCCAGTGTTAGGCTTTTCAATAATGGGGTACTTTCTTTTTTTTTCGCCCTCGGGGCATAGCTCAGTGGTACAAAGAAAAGGAGTGAGGTTATCTCACGTCTTGTTGACAGCCGCAGTGTGGGGGTTCGATTCCTGAGATATGAAATTGGATTTCTTGTAAGCGCAGTGTACATGCAGCTCTTGTTTCTCTGGCCTGTTGGGACACATCCCGCGATTTACCTCCCTTACAAAGTTTTAGAGGCGGGACGGTGGGGGCCCTCAAGGTTGGGGTTCAACCTTTAATAATGGGGTACTTTTTATATTGACCAAGTCACACATATCATTTTTCACTTTGATCATTTATTTATTTATTATTTATTATTTTTTTTGCATTCACCACAATGACCTGTTAATGTATAAAAGACAAAATTACATTTAAATTGTTTTACAATTACAAAAAATGATATTGTTTAAAAGACTATTATACCCTTTTAAGTTATAAAGAATTCCAAACACCTCCCACTTAAAATTTTAAAATCAAATCACTTATTTTATCTGTTTACTACAATACAGACATAAATCGTTTAATTTTTCATCAGCTTCAATCTTGAAATCTCATAAATTTAACAAACGCTCAGTAAAAAATTTATTTATAGCCAACACTTCGAATCGCTGAGTATATTTACGTATTATTAATTTCATTTTCGTTGAATTAGTAACTTGTTTTAATTGTTAAATTTTTTTTTTTTTTTTAACATAAGTAGATAATTTTTTACAATATTAGATAAATATGTCTTCTTCTTTTTTTACGCAAAATTTGAAACAAATTCATCTGAACAAGTCTCGACAGTCAGCCCGCCATCGACATCACCAAACTGCCCCGCTTGGATCAGACGGCCCAAACAGCTAGACCTAGGTAGCACAGACGTGTAGGCCGTCTGGATCTGCCCGACCCACCCGATTGGATCCAATCGGCGAGGCGTCGGTCCAGACTATTTTTTAAGTCTTTTTTTATCTTCTAATTATATATTTTTAACAAATTATGTTTCCTAGTGTAGATATGAAATCACCTGCAATTCGAATTTGTTACTTTGGTAAATTTGAAATGAACGAAAATGATCGATGAATGTGGAAATGGACGAGTGAAAGACGTGGTGTTACTGCAATTATAATAAAATCGAGTACATTGTATGAAGATATGTACCATGAATTACAAAACAAGCTCAATGTCGATTCATCTCAGTACGATATGAAATTGATATTTCTATTCAGAGAGCATACGTTCATTTCAATTCCACATGTAATGGTTACTTTCGAAGCTCAGATGAAGGTTTTAATTGAATTGAATTGAAATTGCACGACTCCTATTTGCATAACTTTAGTTAAAAAGAATGTCCTCGAAAATAAACACGAAGTTTTCGATGGAGGGGATCGTAATGTGTGATTTTTGGGACACGTGGAGATAATTCGTGAGGATGATATGAGTATTCCCAGACTGTTGTGCATCACCATGATCTCACTGTTACGCATAGAATTCTCTTAATAGTTCAAGACAATAAGAATGAAAATGAATTTACAAATAAGAATTTGATTGCGTTATCCCATCGGAGACATGAGTTGGGTGGGAGCTCACAGGCTGGAACGAGGATGAAGATTTATATGTCAATCAACAATTTAAAACAAAAAAAGATTTGCAGGAAGCTGTACACTGAATTGCTTTGAAACATAACTTTGAGTTTAAAGTAAAGAAATTAAACAAGTCGATGTACACAGTTATTTGCATTGATGACAGTTGTCGTTGGCGTTTGCAAGCGACGAAGAGAATGATCTAGCGATGCGTTGGTTCTTCACGAAGTTGAGGAAAGTGATTGGGAACGTCGAGAACCTTACATTCATAACTGACTGGGGATAGTCAATAAAAAATGGTATGTCGAAGTCTTTCCCAATGCATATTACGGTTATTGTATGTACTAGATACAAGGCAATTTGAAGACTAAATATCGGGGCAGGGCATCATTCCTTTGTTTAGAAGAGTTGCAGAGGCTTACAGTTTTGAAAAAATTTATAAGTTCATGGTTGAAATATAAAGTAAATCACATGCTGTATAGGAGTATCTAACAAAATGGGGATCGAACGTTAGGCACGATCACATTTTTCAGGACGTTGATACTACATAATGACGTCGAAAATGCGGAGTCGCTCAATGTATTATGCAAGAAGGATCGAGAGTTGCCAATTCTCACTATGATTGAGTACATTCGTAACAAGCTATAACAGTGATTTTATGATCGACGTGATGAATTACAGAGTTGCACAAGTGCGCTAACCCTGACTCAGGAAGATAAACTCTTCAAGACTTTAGAAGTGGCGAGAAAGGTATGTGTGGAACCACTGGACCAGCTTTACTTCTCTGTGAGATGTGGACGTAATATCGGATATTTTGTGGACTTGAATGATAATACGTGCACGTGTAAACAATTTCAATTGAAAGTTTTTCATATAAGCATGTAGTGACGGTGGCTATACATAGAGGATTTTCAGCACATACCTTATGCAGTTATTATTACATGACTGATTATTGGAGAGTATCGTATGTCGAAAGGATATTTCATGTACCAAATGAGAAGTTCCTGACCACATTTTATCACTTAATAATTTGTTGCCACCCGGAGTAAGCCCACGTACTCCTAGACATAAACGCATGCCTAGAATACCATCTATTGGAGAATTTTTCCAACCTTGTAAGTGCGATAGGTGTGGCGTGATAGGGCATACTCGTCGATTTTGTACAAATCAAATTTCCCTACATAATAACTGCCCGGATGTGTAATACAACACCCCAGTTCCATATTTACTATTTTCGCATGGACATCTAATTTGGCGTTGGTTATTTAGTAGAATAGTTAATTATTTAATAGTTTTTTGTGTTCCAGCGTTTTTATATAAATTTGACGATATTTACAATTATATTATAATTACTTTAAGCATTTAATGTATAATGTTTAAGAATAATAATGACAGAAGTTTGAATAATAGTAACCACTATATTTATTTTCATTGTTTATTTAATATATAATTTCATTTTTATTTTAATATTTCATTAATTATTTTAAAAAAAATCGATGTATAACATTTACATAAATTTGACAATATTTACAATCACATCATAATTACAAAAAATTCAATATATACAATATTTATGGATCACGGTTATATTCATACAAATCGCAAGCTAACTTCAACCTCCACATATCTATTCAAGATTGATTTATTGTATCAATCTAGCGACTAATGCTAAAAAATTCTATATACTTTATTGCGAACATACTGCAATCGCCCCTGCAAGTAAAGAATAATATATTAGTTCAAGCAATATTGTTAAAAAATAAGTTTTTGAAAAACTCAACTATACAAAATTGATTGATATTTTTACCTAAAAAACTATAAGGCGAGTTGTATTTAAGTAATTATTTAGAACATTCTTGAATATTTTGAATATTTCATTTTATATGTTGCTTATGGTTGTTTTCAAGTCAACAAATTTAATTCCGTAAAACCTTACAAATACAAAAATTGATTGATTGCTACGATTTAGGGCCCAAATTCTGAAATTCGCCTCAAGCACCGCGAAACACAGGGATGACATTGTGTGGTTGTGTTTGACTATAAATTACTTTAATCGATTTAAATACGTGTATGATCTACTCGTGAGAGTTCCCAATTGAAATGTCATTTTGTTTTATAGTGATTAAGTTCTTATTGTCTCCATTCTTGATTTGTAACAATTTTCTTGGCGTTAACAGAGAGGTAAGACATATAGATCTCAACTGTATTTGTCTCCATTCTTGATAGGATTAATCTTCTTGGATAGTGGCCAACGTGGCAGCCCACAGGCCCCTGTCCATATAGCAAAACCCTTCTTGATATGTTAGTTGTTTCCATTCTTGACAATTATCTCTATTCTTGATTTGTCTATTTTCTTATCGAAATGCTATTCTTGATATATTTTTTATTATCATTTTGTGGTTTTGATTTGGTCTGAAAGTGGGGTGGAATGGGTAGTGTTTGGAGTGGCTGAGAAGATGAAGTGATTTTTATGTTTTAAGTTTTAATTTTTAATTATGTATTTGTAACTTATTTATAATTTTTTTGAAAAATTTAGGGCTATAATTCCGATTAGTTCTTCTCATTTTTTTTTTTAAATGAGAGGCTATATTTATCATTTTTTACAATTTTTATTAAAAAAAATAGATAAAAAGAATTATTTCTATAATCAAAGATGTAAATAAAGGTGAAAATACCAAAAAATATAAGGTAAAAACGTTTTGTACAATGAACCTCAAATCCCGAGACTTTTTGCGATGATAACCCTTTATAATATCATTATGTATTCACTAAACTTAAAAAATAAATTCTAAAATAATATGAAATATGACTTGATTGAATTCTTGTTTCATCAAAACCTATGAATTTTATCAGCTTTGATTACAGGATTAGCCTTGGCAATCTTTTCCCTTCCTGGTACCTTGAACTCAAAGGTACAATCATGCTTTTCCGGGTATCTGTGCGTGCCACAGAAGAAACTATCACACTTACACTTGAATCCCGTCAAACCCAACTTTTTGTTACAACTCAAACACCTATTACTAACCACCTTCTTCTCCACCACTGCCGCCGTCACCTCCTCCCTTACAATCTTCTCTTCCACCACAGAAGATGATGGGCCCACAGTACCGACATTCTTTTCCATGGCAATCTTGGCTGAGGAGGCTTGTTCCTTCTCGATCTGTAAATATGAGTAACACTTTGAGCAAAGACCCATCGTCGCTGCTGTACCATAGAAGCCGCAGCCGCTGGCGCAGAGAACCGGCTCCGAGTGCTGAAAACTGGTTCCGTCGTTGATCTTGTTTCCTTCAGAAGAAGCCATACTCTTTTTTGTTGAATCGAATATTGAGTACAGAATGTATCTTTTTTACAAAAAATCTGTGAATCGATTAACGAATTCTTCAAGTGGAAGATCTTTGAAGACAGAAATTGCCAAATTGGTATCTATTGCATCATCAATAAATAAAAGCGTGAGAATTTAAAATTTTTTTATGTAGATGATGGAATTGACAAAAATGACATATGTGCCCTGCGATTAGAGTTACTTGCAGGCGAGTTTCAAAAGGGTATTTACGGAATTTGAAATTGGAGCCGACTTCAACGCGGTATGTTGGTACCAGTAAAGGCAATAAAATTTTGAATTGGTCTTTCCTTTCCGGGTGGTAAAAGACAAAATTGTCCAGGTAGAGATTTCAGGTTGTTGAAGGAGAATGAGGACAGAATCGTCTTCCTAATCTAATAGAAAGTCCTCCTAGGTAAAAGCGCATTCTAGATTACATTCGATAGATTCCAAATAGATAGCGTTTTGAAAATATTCTAGAACACCAAAAAAATAGATGGCAGCGAGCAAATTTGATTCGTAAAAGGAAGACTTATCGTCTCCTTCTAAAACTGCCAGCATTCCAATTTTGGTCGTGTGGCGAGAATTACCCATATTTTGACAGATAGTACTCAATCGGTTAGGTCCGTTCGATTGCAGGAATGAAATTTTGGTGGAAAGAAAACGAATTTCAAGAAATTGAATTAATTAGAACTTGTTTTTTGGAAGTTGTCAATTAAATGTATTTGATTAGTATAATTTTATAC